TGTGTGTGTGTGTGTGTGTGTGTGTGTGTGTGTGTGTGTGTGTGTGTGTGTGTGCGTGTGCGTGCTTTGCACTTCAGGGCCACCGTAGGTTTCAACTGATTTTACTGAAGAACATTTTTTTGTAATGTATTTCTAATTTCATGCTCATAATACAACTGGAAATGATAAATTTAACAAACAAAACGAAACACGCTCCTTAACACAAGTACAACACGACACTGCAGTACCTATAGAAAGGCCTTTTTTGTTTTTTTGTTTTTGTTTTCCTATAGCACGTATATTTGAAAGAGTTCACAAGCCACACTTACGCTTTGTATTTGTTTCTACGTCAAGATACTATTCGTATCTAAGTAACCCACTACTCTAGTGTAATAATTTGATATGAGGAATATATCGAGAAGAAGGGGTAAGACTAGAAAAGTTTTTGCACTTCTTCCTACTCCCTTTGAACAGCTGCGATTCTCTCTGTATAGATGGCAACAGACATACGAGAATGAATTGAACATTCGGCCATTTAGTGGAAGAGTAGTTAATTGTTCTGCCTGCCACGTCACCATTTGTCATTGTCATAAATGGATGGACCAAAATCATTTGTGGTCATTAAATTAGAATTTGAGGATCAGTTCATAAGTGAGGTTGGGGGACGGCATAGTCATCTGATTTTGTTTTGTTTTTTTACCATGAAATAAAGCCCACACATATTCAACGACATTACAAGCAAATGAAATGAATAAAAAAGTAACTTTCTCTCTTACAAAGCATTACATCCACGCGTAAGTAAGAAAGTAATAAAGTCCGCACATTTTTCAACAAGACAGATGTGATAGGGAGATATGAAATGACAATGGCTTGATGTCTTATCGGTGCTTGCTAAGCTGGTTACCATCGCGTGACTTTTTGTGCGGCACCTTGTGTGGTAACCACGAGCAACGGATGTGAACCACGCCCACATTCGCTACGATTGGTTGACTTCTGGCAAGCCCTCGCAGCTGATTGGCTGATCCGGTTTGTTGTGGGCGCTCCACTCACCGTGGCGTTTTCTCACTTTTGCTGCCTCTCTTTCACTTGCGGGAATGAAGCCACGGGCGGTTGGTTGCTTTTTGGCAGATTGCTTTCATTTGTGAATATGTGTGAGAGTGTGTGAGGGCATTTGTGCTTGTATGTGCGTGAGTGTGTGTGTGTGTGTTATGTTCCCAGCATGAGTCTGAAGAACAGGAAGTTCTCACTGGACAGCTCTGTGTAAGTACAAGGAAGTTATATTCTTTTTTTTTTTGGCGGTGCCATTGCGCGGTGATCCACCGAGTGCGATACGGAAAGAATTACTGCCACATGTACAGTTCTCGACAGTTCAGTTGTATTTTACTTTGTAGCTTAATACATTTGCGTTTATGTTTCATGTTCGATTTGTACTTTGGTACAGTGTTTGTTGAATATGCGTGCAATACAATTTAAGTGAATCGTGATTTCGGGTTTTTTTCCCCTATACTGTATTTAAGAGCAGGAGTATGTTCAAACCATGCAGAATGTGGCAGTGGGTTACAGTGGTATTGACGATAATCTTTCAGAATAAAATTTAGTCTTTCTTGGGTTTTTGTGGATGAACACTTGGGCCTTACTACTCTTTGATAAATTTCTTCACGATGGAGCTACTTCAGTTTTCGGAGCGGTACTTGGCCTTGAAAGTTTGGGGACGGCTGCTCTAGCTGAACACGAGGAGCGCACGGCGCTGTCTTGCCGAAAGTGAAACTGAAATATCAGAGAAACACAGATTCCACAATGTGACTGTCACATTCTAGATCAGGGATGGGCAACTTCAACGAAGGGGGGTGCGGGTGGAGGAGGGGGGGGGGGCACCATTTTTCATCAGTGCTAACTGTGCACTTCCTAACCCTTTCATGCACCCTGTAACCTGATAACATGATAAGCTGTCCACTGTAGTCACCGCTATACCTGAAAGGGTTTAAATAAGGACTCAACATGCCAGTTTTTGTTTTTAATTAAACCAACAACATACAGAACAGGCATCTTAATATGTTTTAATGCTCAAATGCGTATACAGTATAAAATACAACCTTCCTCAACTGCTTGAATGCTCTTTTATTTAAATTAGTCGATCGTGTGCGAGCACATATGTAATCTAAGGTAGGAACCAGGCTGAGGTAGCAAATGAGCTGTCACGCATCTACTAACGAAACCCCCATTTTGTCTTCAGGCTGCCATAAAGCACGCACAACTGCGACTTCCTACAAACCCTCTGTCCCTTTTGGACAGATCACGACATAACAGCATTCCCTTCCTTCTCTGTGGTCAGCTCACAGGATGCGACAGGAAGCATCAGCAACCGCAGAGGCTCCACTCACAGGCTCCTGAAGAAGTACAGAACGAGCCAGGAGGATAGCGAACTGGAGATCCCGGAACTAAATCAAAATTCCAACGGCAACTTCGGCGGCAGGTAGGCCCCCGCCAGCATTGGCATCGAAGCAGGATATCGCTCGTGCGCCAATTGTTTCTCTCCTGATCTGCGTCCTGACATCTTTCGCGCCTTCAGGGAGAAGACTTCCGTGGAGGAGATAATTGAGCGGCAAGATGGGCTCATCAGCAACAATGTACGCCAATATGAGTGGACATAAAACGGTGCCGAATTTTGTGGCCAGCGAGTGTATACTGATGCAAATGTGTGTTTTTATTTTTTTGTATCATTTTAGAGTTTCCACAAACACAATCGAAATTTCCACAGACTCTTTAAGGAAATCCCAGAAGGAGAGAACCTGACACATAGTGAGTAGACTTGTTTTTTTTTTTTTTGTTGTTGTTTATTTTTACAGTGATTTTCAAAACGGAATTAATCCTTACTACTAGTGCCACACGGGCTATCGCTACACTGTGTCAAAAAGAAAAGACAAATCAGAATTTCAAAGCGCGTTTATGTGTGTGCGTGTGTATGTTTCCGCAGCTTTCACCTGCGCTCTGCAAAAGGAAGTGCTCTATCATGGAAAACTTTATATTTCGGAAAATAACGTGTGCTTCTTCTCGTCCGTGCTGCTCAAAGAGACCAAGGTAAGCGCTGTAGTCGAGGCGTTTTGGAAATCTGTTGATCCTGGTCATCCAGTACCGCCCCTAAGCAGGGCTCGCCCGTGTTGCAGGTGGTGATCCCCACATCCAACATCCAGGAGGTGAAGAAACAAAATGCAGCTTTGTCCATGCTGTCGATACAAACTGCCGATGACGAGAAGGTCAGATGATGCTTTTCCTCCCCGTTTTGGGAGCTAAACACTGTAACTGCTACCGTAAATATACAGTACTGATGTAATGAACTAGAATGTAAAAGAACTGTAGGCATATTTTCTCCTTCACTGCACATTGTACTGCCGATTCTGGTATGTGCGCCATCATGGCCACCCGGGGATAGTATCAGACAGGCCATATGGATATACTGTCCTGTAAGACTGAGCTTCTCTCTCAGGTTTTCGGTACGGCAGAATTATTCATCGTTTTTCCAAACTATATGTCTGTGGCTATTATCTTTTTATCTGTCTGCATGTGTTGCTGCAGCGTTTGTGTTCAGCTATTCGTTGCTGAAAGGGCACACAGCCAAACTAATGCCAATTGTTCACCTGTTGTACATTAACAGTAAGGTCACGGAGGCTACGTTGGTGTTTAAAATACAAAACGTGATTAGTGCAGTGCTAATAATTGATTAACGATAGGAAGAATGTATTTATTTCACCCCCTCCTCACAGTATAGTAAGTGGTATAGTAAGGTGTTTTTAGCCCGGAAAAAACGACCATGTATAGAAAGGCGTTTTTAGCCCGAAAAAAACGACCATGTATAGTAAGGCGTTTTTAGCCGGAAAAAACGACCATGTATAGTAAGGCGTTTTTAGCCGGAAAAAACGACCATGTATAGTAAGGCGTTTTTAGCCGGAAAAAACGACCATGTATAGTAAGGCGTTTTTAGCCGGAAAAAACGACCATGTATAGTAAGGCGTTTTTAGCCGGAAAAAACGACCATGTATAGTAAGGCGTTTTTAGCCGGAAAAAACGACCATGTATAGTAAGGCGTTTTTAGCCGGAAAAAACGACCATGTATAGTAAGGCGTTTTTAGCCGGAAAAAACGACCATGTATAGTAAGGCGTTTTTAGCCGGAAAAAACGACCATGTATAGTAAGGCGTTTTTAGCCGGAAAAAACGACCATGTATAGTAAGGCGTTTTTAGCCGGAAAAAACGACCATGTATAGTAAGGCGTTTTTAGCCGGAAAAAACGACCATGTATAGTAAGGCGTTTTTAGCCGGAAAAAACGACCATGTATAGTAAGGCGTTTTTAGCCGGAAAAAACGACCATGTATAGTAAGGCGTTTTTAGCCGGAAAAAACGACCATGTATAGTAAGGCGTTTTTAGCCGGAAAAAACGACCATGTATAGTAAGGCGTTTTTAGCCGGAAAAAACGACCATGTATAGTAAGGCGTTTTTAGCCGGAAAAAACGACCATGTATAGTAAGGCGTTTTTAGCCGGAAAAAACGACCATGTATAGTAAGGCGTTTTTAGCCGGAAAAAACGACCATGTATAGTAAGGCGTTTTTAGCCGGAAAAAACGACCATGTATAGTAAGGCGTTTTTAGCCGGAAAAAACGACCATGTATAGTAAGGCGTTTTTAGCCGGAAAAAACGACCATGTATAGTAAGGCGTTTTTAGCCGGAAAAAACGACCATGTATAGTAAGGCGTTTTTAGCCGGAAAAAACGACCATGTATAGTAAGGCGTTTTTAGCCGGAAAAAACGACCATGTATAGTAAGGCGTTTTTAGCCGGAAAAAACGACCATGTATAGTAAGGCGTTTTTAGCCGGAAAAAACGACCATGTATAGTAAGGCGTTTTTAGCCGGAAAAAACGACCATGTATAGTAAGGCGTTTTTAGCCGGAAAAAACGACCATGTATAGTAAGGCGTTTTTAGCCGGAAAAAACGACCATGTATAGTAAGGCGTTTTTAGCCGGAAAAAACGACCATGTATAGTAAGGCGTTTTTAGCCGGAAAAAACGACCATGTATAGTAAGGCGTTTTTAGCCGGAAAAAACGACCATGTATAGTAAGGCGTTTTTAGCCGGAAAAAACGACCATGTATAGTAAGGCGTTTTTAGCCGGAAAAAACGACCATGTATAGTAAGGCGTTTTTAGCCGGAAAAAACGACCATGTATAGTAAGGCGTTTTTAGCCGGAAAAAACGACCATGTATAGTAAGGCGTTTTTAGCCGGAAAAAACGACCATGTATAGTAAGGCGTTTTTAGCCGGAAAAAACGACCATGTATAGTAAGGCGTTTTTAGCCGGAAAAAACGACCATGTATAGTAAGGCGTTTTTAGCCGGAAAAAACGACCATGTATAGTAAGGCGTTTTTAGCCGGAAAAAACGACCATGTATAGTAAGGCGTTTTTAGCCGGAAAAAACGACCATGTATAGTAAGGCGTTTTTAGCCGGAAAAAACGACCATGTATAGTAAGGCGTTTTTAGCCGGAAAAAACGACCATGTATAGTAAGGCGTTTTTAGCCGGAAAAAACGACCATGTATAGTAAGGCGTTTTTAGCCGGAAAAAACGACCATGTATAGTAAGGCGTTTTTAGCCGGAAAAAACGACCATGTATAGTAAGGCGTTTTTAGCCGGAAAAAACGACCATGTATAGTAAGGCGTTTTTAGCCGGAAAAAACGACCATGTATAGTAAGGCGTTTTTAGCCGGAAAAAACGACCATGTATAGTAAGGCGTTTTTAGCCGGAAAAAACGACCATGTATAGTAAGGCGTTTTTAGCCGGAAAAAACGACCATGTATAGTAAGGCGTTTTTAGCCGGAAAAAACGACCATGTATAGTAAGGCGTTTTTAGCCGGAAAAAACGACCATGTATAGTAAGGCGTTTTTAGCCGGAAAAAACGACCATGTATAGTAAGGCGTTTTTAGCCGGAAAAAACGACCATGTATAGTAAGGCGTTTTTAGCCGGAAAAAACGACCATGTATAGTAAGGCGTTTTTAGCCGGAAAAAACGACCATGTATAGTAAGGCGTTTTTAGCCGGAAAAAACGACCATGTATAGTAAGGCGTTTTTAGCCGGAAAAAACGACCATGTATAGTAAGGCGTTTTTAGCCGGAAAAAACGACCATGTATAGTAAGGCGTTTTTAGCCGGAAAAAACGACCATGTATAGTAAGGCGTTTTTAGCCGGAAAAAACGACCATGTATAGTAAGGCGTTTTTAGCCGGAAAAAACGACCATGTATAGTAAGGCGTTTTTAGCCGGAAAAAACGACCATGTATAGTAAGGCGTTTTTAGCCGGAAAAAACGACCATGTATAGTAAGGCGTTTTTAGCCGGAAAAAACGACCATGTATAGTAAGGCGTTTTTAGCCGGAAAAAACGACCATGTATAGTAAGGCGTTTTTAGCCGGAAAAAACGACCATGTATAGTAAGGCGTTTTTAGCCGGAAAAAACGACCATGTATAGTAAGGCGTTTTTAGCCGGAAAAAACGACCATGTATAGTAAGGCGTTTTTAGCCGGAAAAAACGACCATGTATAGTAAGGCGTTTTTAGCCGGAAAAAACGACCATGTATAGTAAGGCGTTTTTAGCCGGAAAAAACGACCATGTATAGTAAGGCGTTTTTAGCCGGAAAAAACGACCATGTATAGTAAGGCGTTTTTAGCCGGAAAAAACGACCATGTATAGTAAGGCGTTTTTAGCCGGAAAAAACGACCATGTATAGTAAGGCGTTTTTAGCCGGAAAAAACGACCATGTATAGTAAGGCGTTTTTAGCCGGAAAAAACGACCATGTATAGTAAGGCGTTTTTAGCCGGAAAAAACGACCATGTATAGTAAGGCGTTTTTAGCCGGAAAAAACGACCATGTATAGTAAGGCGTTTTTAGCCGGAAAAAACGACCATGTATAGTAAGGCGTTTTTAGCCGGAAAAAACGACCATGTATAGTAAGGCGTTTTTAGCCGGAAAAAACGACCATGTATAGTAAGGCGTTTTTAGCCGGAAAAAACGACCATGTATAGTAAGGCGTTTTTAGCCGGAAAAAACGACCATGTATAGTAAGGCGTTTTTAGCCGGAAAAAACGACCATGTATAGTAAGGCGTTTTTAGCCGGAAAAAACGACCATGTATAGTAAGGCGTTTTTAGCCGGAAAAAACGACCATGTATAGTAAGGCGTTTTTAGCCGGAAAAAACGACCATGTATAGTAAGGCGTTTTTAGCCGGAAAAAACGACCATGTATAGTAAGGCGTTTTTAGCCGGAAAAAACGACCATGTATAGTAAGGCGTTTTTAGCCGGAAAAAACGACCATGTATAGTAAGGCGTTTTTAGCCGGAAAAAACGACCATGTATAGTAAGGCGTTTTTAGCCGGAAAAAACGACCATGTATAGTAAGGCGTTTTTAGCCGGAAAAAACGACCATGTATAGTAAGGCGTTTTTAGCCGGAAAAAACGACCATGTATAGTAAGGCGTTTTTAGCCGGAAAAAACGACCATGTATAGTAAGGCGTTTTTAGCCGGAAAAAACGACCATGTATAGTAAGGCGTTTTTAGCCGGAAAAAACGACCATGTATAGTAAGGCGTTTTTAGCCGGAAAAAACGACCATGTATAGTAAGGCGTTTTTAGCCGGAAAAAACGACCATGTATAGTAAGGCGTTTTTAGCCGGAAAAAACGACCATGTATAGTAAGGCGTTTTTAGCCGGAAAAAACGACCATGTATAGTAAGGCGTTTTTAGCCGGAAAAAACGACCATGTATAGTAAGGCGTTTTTAGCCGGAAAAAACGACCATGTATAGTAAGGCGTTTTTAGCCGGAAAAAACGACCATGTATAGTAAGGCGTTTTTAGCCGGAAAAAACGACCATGTATAGTAAGGCGTTTTTAGCCGGAAAAAACGACCATGTATAGTAAGGCGTTTTTAGCCGGAAAAAACGACCATGTATAGTAAGGCGTTTTTAGCCGGAAAAAACGACCATGTATAGTAAGGCGTTTTTAGCCGGAAAAAACGACCATGTATAGTAAGGCGTTTTTAGCCGGAAAAAACGACCATGTATAGTAAGGCGTTTTTAGCCGGAAAAAACGACCATGTATAGTAAGGCGTTTTTAGCCGGAAAAAACGACCATGTATAGTAAGGCGTTTTTAGCCGGAAAAAACGACCATGTATAGTAAGGCGTTTTTAGCCGAAAAAAACGACATAGTATAGTAATTTTTCTGGAAAATGTGTATCAGGAAGTGTCCTTATTAACACTAAAGAAAAAAAAAGAGAAATATAAATCTGCCGAATAGCTTTATTGACATAGTTTATACACACTCGTACAATGAGAGCGCCACTGCCACCCACTGCAGTGGATGTGCAATTACAATTCATTCACTTTGACAAGGGTTGTATGAGTGGCAGTAAAAAAAGGTGCAGCTATTTTGTCGACTTCATCGTAAATTTGAAACGGCTCCTCATAAAAAGTGAACACTTTAAAGCGCTTGACGCCAACGCGTCTTGAAGGAAGTCATTTCGTGAAGGAAGCAATTCAGTGGGGAACATGGGCTCGAACTTGATGCCGTGATGCCGCTGGAATGAAGTTAAATTGGTTTTTTTCATTGCTGATCAGTCATCTCATGCTTTCTGTTTGTCCCCGCAGTACTTTTTTGTTTCCTTGAGAAACCGAGAGATGTGCTACAATCTCCTCCAAAGTGTCTGTTCGCAGGCACAGGTGAGCGTGCCAAGCGCCAAACGCTGTGCGTGCGTGGCGTCGCACCGCAAATGAAGGACTTTTTTGTGGGTGTGGGTGGGACTGTGGGCGTGTGTGTGTGTGTGTGTGTGGGTGTGTAATTTATTTTATTTAATTGTTTTCTTTTTGTTTTGTTTTTTTTTTTTCTTCTTTTCGGTAACAACACAGGGAGACAGCCCTCATGGATCCTCTGCTGAGAATGAAGCTGATTCCAATTTGGTGGGTGAAGGAATAATAAAAAATAATTACAAAATAATAATTATAACAATAATTATTGTTATTATTATTGGGTGGCACCGTGTTCGACTGGTTATCACCTCGGCTTCACAGTGCAGAGGGGCAGGGTTCGATTTTGGCTCTGGCCTTCCTGTGAGGAGTTGACATGTTTTTCCTCGTACCTGTGTGGGTTTTCTCCGGGTAATTCGGTTTCCTCCCACATTCCAAAAACATGCGTGGCAGGTTAATGGAACATTCTAAATTGTCCCCAGGTGTGGGTGTGAGCGCGATTGGTTGTTCGTCTATGTGTGCCCTGCGATTGGCCTGCAACCAGTTCAGGGTGTCCCCCGCCTACTGTCCGAAGACAGCTGGGATAGGCTCCAGCACGCCTGTGACCCTTGTGAGGAAAAAGCGGATTAGAAAATGGATGGATGGATGAATGGCTGGATGGTTAATAATAATAAGAAGAAGAAGAATAAACTTTCCGTAAGGTCAAGCACACTCCATTCAGCAGCGCTGATTTGTTCAGACAATTCCCCAACGAAAATAACGACTCACATAATAATGCTGTATGTCTGACTTTAGTGGCTCTTCTGTCATCAACGCGCTACCTTACTGCTTGTCCGCATGTCCAAACGGCAGGTCTCCAGTCATTCCAGCATTGATGACACCGTGGATCACCATATGAGCGGGCAGAATGGTAATTATCTGGATGACAACATCCCTCAATCGGCCAGTAAACGTAAGACAGAAAATGTTCCTTATGTCCATGACTGATACTGTCAATCCAATATACTCTCTTTTTGTTGGCGCAGTATATCGTGCATTGAACATTTATTAACATGCTGTATAAAACGAACAAATCTTTTCAGATTTGAATGAAAATATTTTCATATTTTCCCCCTGAGACATGCTGGCAACAACTTATTTTAAAGCCTGTTTTCGAATCATAACGCCGCTCCCATTTATCCTGAGCATTCTTTTTTTTTTTTTTTGTACTTTGGCAGGTTCCACCCAAAGAATGTCTACAACAGAGGAGGCGGACGGCACGTGTAAGGCCTTTTATGTTCTGTTCATGATGCCACTCGGCAAGAAGGGAACATTGATGCAGTGCAAATTTATTTGTCTCAGTTTCGTCATGGCTTTGGAAGATCATGGAGGACGTCACAGTGTTTTTCTTCCTCCGACCAAGAGTGAATTTCAGCATTGTCTTATTCGCCTACTTAATGTTGTAAGTTGACTAATGTTGGGCCTACAACCGCCGTCCCATTCATAACACACATTTCTGGATTCGTGATCCAAGGATGTCCAGTTTTGTGCCTTTCAGTGACTCCACTAGTTTCTCTGCTGCAACGCTCAGTGACCACTGAATGCCAAATTAATGGACATTTTGAGAGAGCATACATTTCCCCTGGCAGGATCCACACCAAAAAAACAAACAAAAAAACAAATACAGTAACCAGTTTATTGTATTGTGTTGGTGTAACTATTTCCTGCTTCGTGGCTATTTTTTTATGTGAAGCGTGTTGGTTGGCCGTAATTATCTTGTCAGTGCTCACGAAGGTGCATGCCCAATTTGGCTTCTATGCACCCAGTACAATAGTAAGGCATGTTGTGCTGTGTGTGTGTGTGTGTGTGTGTGTGTGTGTGTGTGTGTGTGTGTGTGTGTGTGTGTGTGTGTCTGTACACAACATGCGTGAAGGTTGGTGCTGCTCCTGTTGGTGTCCGGCTACATTGGGCTCAGGATGATAGCACTGGAGAGGCAGCTAAGTTCTTTGTCTGAGCTGTCTTTGCTCTTCGGAGAGTGAGTGCACACGCGCGCTCACACACACACACACACACACACACACACACACACACACACACATGCACACACACACATTTGGGCAAGCTTGTGCTGGTAATGCCTCAAACCGGTTTAAAACCATTACTGGCTTGATCAGATTTTTCAAAAAATTATTTCAAGAAAAACAAACAAAACAAAAACGATGGGCATGGCTTTTTGCTTGTCTACCCGTATGCCGCTGAAGGCTGAAAAAAAGGCAAGTGATTACATTCCGCTACGGTCACACCCAGGTGTGTTTGCAAAGTCAAAGTGGCTACTGCCCAAATATGCTGCTTTGAAAATATTGATAGAATAACACTCACTGTCTGCGATCGCGAAACGGGTCATTTAATAGAAATGGCGAGGAAAGAATAAATTAGCAAATACATTTTGTGATTGAATTTATGTTATGTTATCATCTGGACTCTGGAGTAGTTCGGAATCAATATATACCTCATGAAATGAAAAACACAGCAAAAAAATGTAAGCTAAAAACGATATCATTCAACAGAGATGCGGAATTTACATGTATTCGTGCGTGGCGGTCACTCAAGACAGGTTCCGCAAGTCAAGCAAGGCGTGCTCTGACCAACCAATCAGAGGATGGAAAAATGGCCAAGTCATTGTGGGCCCAGGAAGTTGGCTGAAATGCGACGAGACAAAAAAAGAATAATAACTCTTAACCACATAAACGTTCTGGAAGCAGTGCAGGCAAGACAAAATCAAAAGAAGAGACGACTGGGAATAAATTCATACAATTTCCATGGGACAAAGATTAGAATTCAGTTTGTAAATGGAGGTCAGTGCTTCTGAGTGTTTGGGCCAGCACAAAAGTCCTGACTGGTCCTGATGGGTTCAACACGGCATGTAATCAATGAAATATTGAACATATTTTTTAATAGCTACAATTTTTCATATACAGTAATGACATTGTGCCAGCCAGTACTGATTATACTGCTCAATTATCCTCGTTCTGCATCAAAAATTCTCCTTGACCTTTGTCTTGATTTTTTTTTTTTTTTTTTTTTTTTTAGCCAACAAGAAACATAGCCAGGAGCAACGACCATCAGCAATTCTCCCAAGATTCACTGTGTAATTTAAATAGAGAGTTTATTCGCCTTTAATGAGAGAAGAGACATGTGGCGGTTGACGTCGGCCCATAAAATGGATGAGCGAAATCAGGGACACAAAGACTGCATTTCGCGGGCCCTTGTTTACTTCAACCAACCAAAAGTAAACAGTCGAAAAGAAAATTTGAATGTTAAAATTCTGTACATTTCACGTGAGATTTTAATAGTGGAATTGAGCACTTTTTTTTTGGTTTTACTTGTACAATACACATGTTAGCCAGTAGAGGGCAGTGTTTTCATCTAAACAGGAGCATCACCGGGTAAAGCCACTTAATTTCCCTTCAGTTTTCAATTCCAAGTCAAACATTTTGTCATCCCTGTCTGTTGCCAAAATTTGTAAATAAATAACTTTGTTACAATCCGTCTGATTTGGAGTGTCTGGCTTATTTCAAAACAGATCACATAAGACAGGAGGAAATCTTTTCAAGCCCTGATTTGGTTTTTTTCTCCTACAGTGACAGCGAGCAATGAACTTATTTGTATATCTCAATTTAATGGCCATTCTCGAAACAGAATTTTACTTGAGTGTCTACATTCATTCATATGAATCAAATAAAACTTGGAGTGGACGATGCCATTTCAATATCATCCTGTTGTATTCCATTTGCTCAGGTTCAAATGCGCCTTACGATCTGGGCCTGGTCATTTTGCAATGCGCAACTGACACGACCATGTGATCCAAGCCACTCTGATCCTTCTTGTACATAAGTGATCTTTTATTTTGTTATCCATAAAAAGGTCAAGATTCAGTCCCATGTATTAATTCCATTACATCAGAGTCTCAGTTCAAAAAGCAACATAAAATTACAAATCATAATACAAAGAAGAGAATAGGTTAAGTACAGTAACCTTACAGTATAAACAGTCCACTAGTATTGTTCAAGTAGTCTACCCCACCCACCCACCAACCAAATGACCCCCAGGACAAAACTTGAGCATACATGACTTGGAATCAGCAATTTTTAAAAAATGCAAAGAAATGTCCTGTTTTTTGTTGTTTTGTTTTGTTTTTTTCTTTTCTTTTAAAGCGCTTCCAAGATCCAATGCCACTGGTTTATAGCGTTGCCCTCATATAACGACAGAATACATTGTAGAGAGAACATCCCACCCCATCAATTGCTCTGCAAAACACAATAGACATGCACACAGTTTTTAGCGTTCAATTCCGCCCACCCCGTCTCCAATAAATGTTCAGGGCCCTGGAAACAAAATACATCAACCATAGTGGCGCATCCAAAAAAAAAACAAGTTACATTTGCACCCAAAAACCCATGCGAGATGGATCCCTGAAGACACGATTTGTCTGGCGGGGTTGGGTTGGGAGGGGCTCTTAATTTCTGATGCTGAGAAAAACCTTGACGAAAAGTCTTTGAACACATGTGGCAGATCCCTGGTTTAAGGTGGTAACAGATCTCCTTGATTTCAATCGCAAGCACAAAAAGCGAGAGAGAGAGAGAGAGAGACAGGACGACGATGGATGAGGTTCCCTGTTTGAAAGTATGAGCCAATCCGAAGAGCGCGGTCACAAATTAAAAAAAACCTCAAAACAATTTAAAAATAAAAACGGCGCTCCGTCTCAGGTGAGTTCATTCAAGTGTACTAACTGGTCCTACAGGTTCTCTCAAACGGGAAGCCAGTCACCTGGCCAATCCGAGACAACGATAACACACAAACTTTACATCTTTATACCCTTGTTACAATAGTGCTAAACTTAAGACCTGCTTTTTTTTCCCCCATGCTTAATCTGATACATAGAACCAACGTGTACATATACTGTCGCACACTATATAAGTGTCAATGTGCGTGTGTGTGTGTGTGGCGGAACCTGCACCACACAAAGTGAGAAGGTAACGCATGACTTGGGTCAGACAGGAAGTAGTGGGCCCCACAAGTTGGCAGGCTAAAGGGCATGTGGGGAGGAAAAAAGAAAAAAAAAATCACACTGGGAGACCCAGACACCAACACAGTGGAACCTCCAAAGTCCAAATCACATCACATGAAAATCTCAGAGCGCAAAGAGGGAGAAATGTGGGACCAAAAAAAAAAAAATCTGACAGAACATGTGCCTGCTCAGTCTAATAGAAGCAACAAATATCAACCACAGGCACAAAAATAATTTTCCCAAAACAGCACGTCATGGAGAATGATGAACGTGGAAATGACAAGAGAATTCTGCCAACTGTTCCCTCTGTGCTCACGTCTGTTAGGGGGAGTAGTTTTACTTTATTATAGTTTCATTTTATGGTGGTTAACTTCTTTTCAAACTTGAGATTGTTAGGAATGTACAGTTTATGGTGGCGATAGTTTGAGCCCAGAACTACAGTGGATATAAAAAGTCTACACACCCCTGTTCAAATGCCACATTTTGTAATATGGAGGGGAAAAGAAATGCACAGTAAACAATTTCAAAACGTTTTCAACCATTGTATACACCAGAAACCTGTGCTGCCCCAATTAAGCCTCTCTGGCATTTTATTTGATATCATAAAATATATTGTGATTTTCTCAACCAATGTATCGGGCAAGCTCCCTTTTAGCCCCGGGAGGGAATTATCAAAAACAAAACAAAAAAACAAATGTCGCTGTCGCTGCATGGAACACAATATGGAGGGGAAAAGAAATGCATAGTAAACAATTTCAAAACGTTTTCAAACATTGTATACGCCAAAAACCTGTGTTGCCCCAATTAAGCCCCTCTGGCATTTTATTTGATATCATAAAATATATTGATGTGATTTTCTCAACCAATGTATCGGGCAAGCTCCCTTTTAGCCCCGGGAGGGAATTATCAAAAACAAAACAAAAAAACAAATGTCGCTGTCGCTGCATGGAACACAATGAAGACAGTCAACAAGTGGACAAAGTATGGAACAACGGTGACATTATCTTCTTTATGTGCATGCGCTTTGGGGCGGTTTTTCTGCTTACGGGTATTTTTTTGTTTTACAAATACCAGGAGGTATGAGCCAAAAATAAATAAATCAGGCTCCTGCTCGAAAGCAAAAAAAAAAAAAAGAACAAAAAAAGTCATAAAAGACCACCAATAAATACATCCAAGATCCGATTTGGGGGTAATTACATATTTAAATTTGAATGTGGGTAGCTGCGTGCTAACTCCACAGACATATAAGTGACCGGACGAGCAAGGACGCTTCCTCGGCTCCGGGAGATGTAAAGCCACTGGCGGCCATCTTCCATCGACACTCGCTAAGCCCACCGAAATTGACTGAAAAGTGTTTTCAGAAACTTTCCCAACCCACTTCAATATAGTATTTTGACACCAAGATGGCGCCGAAGCAATACTTTTCTATTAGACGGTGCTTTGGCCCTTGAATATGAACGCGCAGGGGAAAAATGGTATTCGCTATGGGAAATTCAAAGTCACGGAAGCGGTTTACGTTCAACTTTGGAGGTTCCACTGTCGTCCTGAGTTGGAACGTGCACACGGAGGGTGTGATGGTTTCTTCAGCTCTGCGCTAAATGACCAAAGTTTCACCTCTAGTGTCTCCCGTCTGCTATACACGCTCACTTTTGACAGACGTGACCTCTTCTGTTTCGAGCCAATTTTCAAATGAACGTGAGGATTGCTAAAACATCCACAAACATGGAGATTTCCTCCTCACAAACATTCCCGACCGGCTCATCTTGCTTGTGGAAAGAAAAGCAAGACGGGGGGGGACAAATCACAATCCCCGTCCGGAGGAGCAGCTAAGAGTAAAAAAGGCAAAATCTACGGCGCTGCCAGGAAACAGGAAGGAAACGGCCAGGGTTGTTTTTTCTTTTTTAAAAATACAGTGGTTGAAGTGGTGTTTGGGAGGGAGACCTTCCTCACCCCCCCCCCCCAGGCCGCGAGCGAGTTACGATCTGGCAGTCAGTTCTGTATGTCCGCTGACAGATAAACAAGAGTGGAATTCCGACCAGTGTTGTCGTCCACTAAAAAGCTGGTCAAACTGTGGAGGTATTCTTCATACATACACACGCACGCACCCAAATAAGACACACACACACACATCAAAAAAAAACAGCAATAATGATAAGTCACTAAAAAGTTTTCCCTCACTCACCACAAGCCAAGTCATAAGGAAGTCCTTCACTTCCCCCCCCTGAAAGCTGCTTCAACTCTCTCACACGCACAACCACAAACGTACACGATCAGAATATTCATCCAAGATTCGACATCCTGGTGCACAATCATTCCTTCGCTTTTAAATGACATCTGTGTGCCTTTTGGAACAAAACACATCATTGTTACTTTTTTTTTTTTCTTTTAAGAAGAAGAAAGCTTCCAATTGCATTCATTTTAAAATGCGAAGCTCCGTCGAACTCCCCCCACTTTACAAACACACTACACCACAGATAAATACACAAAATGACCTTTTTTTTTCCCCCCTTTCAAATGCTGATATCTTCGCCTGCAATCCTTTTAAAAAGTAACAAGTTGTTTAAAAGACACACAGATGATTCTTGTCCGAGCCATACGTTTCTCACGCTTTCACTCTCTCTCACTCGCACACGCAAGCACGCACAAACGCCGCCGCAGCTGCACGAGAGGCCGTTGGTTCCGTTCTCAGGCGTGCTGTGCGGCCAGGTCCTGGTTGATGAAGCGCCGTAGCCTCTCGAGGTACTGACTGTAAAGCTCAATGTCGTTGTGACCGGCGCCCTCCACCCAGAGGGGCTCCACCGCCTTTGGGCAGCGCTCGAACAGGGCCAGGCCGTGGGAGAAGTCGATGACCTCGTCCTCGGTACCGTGGATGATGAGCACCGGAGACGGGATCTTTGACACCTTTTCGATGCTGGAAGGGGGAGTTGTCATTGCAGACTTTCTTTATTTCGCCATCCGAGGGGCTAACGATTCAGATGAATAAAATGGCGACGGCTTACTTGGGGAAGGCGTCGAAGCAGTACGTTTTCTTGGTGTCGGGGAAGGCCACTCTCATGCCGGATGTGAGAGGAGAGTGAAGCACGACAGCGGCGCACTCGAAGCGTGACGCCAGGTCCACCGTTGGCACCGTGCCGATGCTTTGTCCGTACAAGATGATGTTCTCGGGACTGATGCCGTACCTGAGACGCGTCGCGGTATTTGATGAAAGCTTCTCAAGACAACGGCCGCCATTTTAGAATCATTTGCAGAGTTTACGTGCATGTCCCATGTGTGATCAACAGATAGCACTGATCATCTTATTCGGCGGTGACAAAAGGAACAACCTGTCATCCCAGACTGATGAATGCAGAGATACTGTGGTAGCTCTAAACTCGAATATTCTTGAGGTTGTCCAATTTGGAATTTAACCAAAACTATTGAGAGAAATATGGCTCTAAAGTTGCACCAAAAAAAAAAAAAGTTTGTTTGGACAGCCGTCATAAATGATGTCGTGAGACGTCAGCATACCTCAAGTGTAACTTTGGTATTAGGAGAGAATCATTAAGCTCTAACAGTGGGGGAGGGGGGGGGGACTTACCGAGAGCGCAAGGCATGCCAGGCGGCATCAATGTCAGCATAAAGGTTCTTCTCTGACGGCTTGCCAGTGCTAACGCCGTAGCCTGAGTAATCGTAAGAGAATATATTGCAGTTGATGCGCGTGCCCAAGCCAATGTAGAAGCTGCTCATCTGACCAAGATCGACCGCGTTGCCGTGCGAAAACAACACGGTGAACCTGAGGGGCAAAAGGAGAGAAATTAACAATTGCCCACAAAATAATTGGGACATGTAACTTCACAGGGTCCTATCGGCAACTACTTACCTGGCATTTGGGGCGCAGCGTATGTACATGCATCCAACCTTGTTCCCTCGGCTGGACCTGGTCAGGAACACATCGGTCACGTCCAGCTCTCTCTGAGAATACTGAAACTCCGCTCTCTCGGTGAGATGCAGCTTCCACCTGCTCTCACATCCACTCCCAACTCCAGAACTACCACCTCCTCCACCGCCGCTGACGCCACCGCCTCCTCTGTCACCGCCGCTACCAGCGCCCAAACGCGACCGTAGACCGGGAGCTCCCAGAGAAGGGAGGGTGCTCCCAGTAGTGGAACCGGATGCAGTTCCTGCTCCAGACGCAGGATCTGGGTCAGGGAGGAGGGCGTAGGTGGGCTCTGGCGGGAGGAAAGCTAATTTGGCTGCAATGCGACTGGGGCAAGGAGGGCAGCAGAAGAGGCAGCATAGCTCTCGTATGGACAGACCATTCATCTTCTGCTAGACCGGATCAAAAACAGGAGAAGCGCGTTACATTTCGATTAAGAATGCAGATGAGACGATCTCTCTTTGCATGGGTACCAACTGCAGTGAATCCGCGCCATTTTGGTTCTCTTTATCAATTCCCCGCATGTGCATTTTTTTTCTCAACTGAGACTTTGGTAGGAAGGGGAGGAGTCAAGATAAACTTGGGTTATTCATGGAAGTTGTGGAGAGTTTTGGCTCATGTTCTTCATGTTTCTTCTAAAGCTTTTTTTTTAAAAATCAAATAATCTGAAAGCCATTTATCTTTAAATGCCATTTTATTAAAATTATATTCAACTGTTGTGAAATCATTGCTAATGGTATAGTTACAGGTTTAAAAAATTAATATATAGGCAATTGGAAACATTTCTTTGAGGGTGAACATCTCTAATGGTACCCACAGTTTTGGCTTGGGCCTTATTGCGCGGATTCACTCGGAAGCACCGCATAATGTTCCGCCGTGACTTTACCTGGATTCTTAAGTCCTGGGTCTTGGAATGACTGGCACACGATGGTGCCAAGGTCTTAAGTTGTAGTCACTGAGCCAGATGCACCTTGAAATTAAACAAAAGTTTAACTATCACCACAGAGTAAGCAAATGATAGCAAATGCACAGTTTCTAAATATTACAGCAAAAACAAAAGTAAGATCAGGGACCCGTTGATAACCATACGATACACAGCACAGAACATTCAGTCGGGTCTAAAGGTCGTGATTAAATGTTTCAAACGTGATCAGAGGGCCGAGAAGTGTTTACCATTGCTGATGTCTGTGACTACTAACGGAACATCAGCTCCAGGAGACAGCCGAGACCGATATGCTGATTAATCATATGCGATCACCTCTAACGCTAGTCTACTCTGGCATAGATCTTGCTTTTCATAGCTAGCCGCACTATGCGTGATTAAGCGCATGACGTTTGGACGGGAATACCGCCGTGCGTGTTAATACCGGGACACTGTCTAAATAAGAATGACAGCTATCATTAGCAAGCCAACTAGCCAGACAGAGACAGCTAGCGTTTAAAGTGTTAGCCCGTTAGCATCGGCGCTAGCTACTTACAGATGCACGGTACGTTGGCAGAAAGGCTGCTGTGGTCCGATTTGTACGCACAAGCAGCACAACACTTCGGCAGTCCTCTTTTTGTCTTGACATGGATGGTTTTACTCAAAAATACTGACGGCTTTTTTGGTGCCTACCAGGATTAAAAATTTGGGTTTAAGAGATTTTTTTTTTCTCGAGCAGTGTACAATTAAATCCGGAAGTGACGTCTGCAATCGAACCCGTCTGGAAAATAACTTTATTTCGACGCGCCTGAGAACAATTGAACACAAACGCGTTGCGATACTGTACTGTTTTGTTGTTTCATTTATTCATATATATATATATATATATATATATATATACACAGAGAGAGAGAGAGAGAGAGAGAGAGAGAGATATGAAACGAAACGAAAGTACAGATACATATCTTTCAAAGGAAAACTGTTAAAATTGATCAGACCACACAGACAAATTCAAAATCACGTGTGCAAAATAGAGATTAGAGAGAGAGCGAGAGAGAGAGAGAGAGAGAGAGAGAGAGAGAGGGAGAGAGAGAGAGAGAGACTGGGTGGGGGGTGTCCATTGATCATTGATCCACTGCAGGACTGCGTTCGTGTACGTGTGCGTGATTGTGTGATCGTGTGTGTTCGCGGGGGTGCAAGTTATGAGCTCGTGTTGTCACTGTGCCTGCTCTGCAATGGACATTTCACCTCGCCACTGTAAATTAAAACAGCAAGATTACATTTAGGTGACATCTGCACGACCAAGCAAGTGCAGACCACTGTGGCAGCTCGGTCCCCTTTGCAGATCATTCAACACAGGCTGCAGGACTTGAGAAATATAAACGGACGACAGGAAGGGGGAAACATCCGAATTTGTTTGCAGAGTATTCTCACCGTGGTAAGATTAAAAAAAAAAAAAAACACGCACACAAACTGGGCGTTTTGGAGTCGCTAGTTTGGGTACACGGTGATGCTCCGGCGAGGCGCAGCAACAGAAGAGGGAAGAGACAGGTGAGGTGCGGCTGATGAGCCGCTGTTCTTTTTTCTCCTTTTAATAGAGGCTCCAGATAGCTTTGCCATCCGTCCAACCTTATCTCCCCAGAACTCAAGAGAAGCGAACGGAGAGAGGGCGAGTGGGCGACTGGCACCTGCTCCACCTGACCCATCTGGTGCGGTGAGTGTGCCAAGTGGCGCGAATGAGAGGCACAAATATGCTGCGTGGATGGCATGAGCAGGTACTGTACATTCTTCATGTGCGACATCACTGCTGCATTATGCCCCTGTGGGTTCGCTACCATAGAGATCCACTTGGCACCGTCTGAACTGCCCTTTGTGTCTACTGCAAGATCCTTTTTTAAAAAAAAAAATCTATTTCGATTTGCGTGATGTGCACTTCTGCAGCGTTTATTATTCTTGAACGTGTTGCATAGCTCTGTGTGAAATGTAATCGTGCATTTCCTTGCATTTAAACACTGCAGTGCAAGAATTCCAGCACAAAGCTTGAAATTCTGGTCGTTTTTAGAGCACGGGTTGCGATCCTCGAGGCTATTACTCTGAGAAGGGTTCTTAGACCATTTTCATGGTGTGTGAGTTAGTGTTTGCTGATGGCTCCCTGGTAACAATAGTAAAGGTCAGATTTGATGATAGAGGCGAGAAGACAATTGATTAGAAATGCCAGTCATGGTAAGCCTGTTATGCGTTGAAAATATAAAAATGTACATTAAAAAGTTTTGATATGAAATCTAACAATATACTAGACTTCCATGGTAATCTCGAGAAAACAAAATACTTTGTCAAAGTGGGGGGGAAATCCTTTGTCCAATGTCTTGCCATGTGAATTAGACACCCAACGCCTCCGTAGCAAGTGACATGTTGCTTTTTAGCTCTTACTGAAATGACTTAATATCGCCGTTTGACCATTTATTGTTTGTAGCGAAAGCAATTGAATTCATCCACCGCTGCGGTTTACGTTCCTCCTCTGAGTTGAAAGGTGAAAACAAAAGGTTAGAGACCAAATTAATAAGGCTAAACGAATGGGCAGCACCGCAGAGTGGCCGTAGGAGAGAGTAATTAAGTCAGATTGCAATCTGTCACAAGGGACGGGACAAGAGCGATAGAGAGAAATGATAGCGGCGGGTGAACAAGCGTTGAGGGAAAGGGGAAGCAGACAGCAGTCGGTACGGGTGTGAATGGTCTCCCTGTTTGCACTGCCGCTCACACAGACGGCCATACAACGGCCGCGTGAGCAGGTGCTCAGCCCCGGCACACTGCAGCAAGCTCGGGCAACAACAGGTGCAGGCTCAGCCTCCATTTGGAAGGCGCTGTTGCGAGCCACTCAGCCTAAAAATGCAGCAATGGCCCGACTCGTGGCCCACATAATAGTAGAACACCAAGCAACCGTTAATTTGCATGTACAATAAAGCATGCAAAGGTCAGCCCGCTGTAATTAAATATATGGAATTAAAAAGACCCCCCCCGCAAAGGCTCAAACAACTGTTAAATCAACTGTATCTTCATACCAAAATGAGGTCAAGTTATATCCACATCCAAGGAAACCATGTGACCAAATTCTACATAATCTAAATAGATGATAGAATGATTTGATGAAATTTGACAAAAATGTGAATTGAAGCAAGTGATTGGGGCATCCAGCGCATCCTTCTGCAGTAAGGTTCCAACCTTCCTGTGTTCCTTTTAGTGAGGTTGGTTGGAAGGATGATTTAAAAAAAAAAAAAAAAGGTTTAATGGATTATTATTATTATTTTTTTTTTTTTTACTGGATTGAATTTGACAAACAAGCAGTCTGAATCAGTATTGCCCAATATTAGTAGGTCGGGGACTTTGCGTATTCATTGAGTAATTGATACCTTTTCAGTTGTATACAACAAAGCCTAGACACAAAGATTGCACACAAAATAACAAACATATCTAATCGAATCGGAATAAATAGACTCATAGCCAGCCAAACAGCCCCCAAAGTGGAGGCAACTCTTCGACAAAGTGGGAACTATTTGAAGCGATAAAGCGTAGCTGTCTGCACGTAAAAGCTATCCGAGGGAGCCTTTTGGGTGTCCACGGGGACACTTAATGAGCTCTATTGATCACATAGGGCCCTATTCAATCACACATGCTAAGCCACAAACGTGGCATCTCAAGCACGCAAAAAGAGATTGGATTGCAGTATAATATAGCTGTCCGCAAACACACTAAATCAGTGGCGGATTAGCAAGGAGCGTGGTTTGTGATTTCCTCTGTGATGACGTTTCGGCGAGATGTTGAGTGGAGAGATTTGATCGTTTCTCCATTCTTGTCGTAAAGTGGATACTTTAAGCAATTGCCAACAAATTGCCTCTCTACCTTTCGTACGCAGAGAGGAACATTGACTGAATTCACCGCTCATACTGGGTGAATCACCGCTGCGCTTAGATGAATCCGCCGTTGAACCCGCAGCTAGCGGTACGCCAGGCGGGATTGACTCGTTAACTCGCCACGAAAGTTTCTTTGACATGAAAGTCCACTTTCCTGTCAAATTGATACACCGCAGAGAAGATGGCCGCTAACAATAATAAATAAAACCCTTAAAGCCTTCACTGGATGGAACAGAGTATATTTCACTCGGTCACCGTAGGGCTTTTCACAATACGACCAAAGGCGTTAGCCAGCAGCTAGCTAGCAAGCGAACAGGCTCCTCTCGGCCGGCAGACGAGCAACGGGCTCATCCTTGATGTCACCACCTCGTTTGGGAATTTAAATAAGGACGAGTTGTTCTGGGGCATCCGAGTCAAACGCCAAGGGGTCCCAGTCAAGTCCAAGACAACAACAACAACAACAAAAAGTGTTGAGTACAGCCTGGGGTCCTCCAGTCCTGCTCTGACAAGTAGTCTGCAAGTCATCCAGAAAGTGACTTCATTGTAGCGAAGTCAAGGTAGTGCATGACTATCCGCTTGCATTTGTATTCACGTCGCCTCAAAACGAATGTGACCGTGGTGAATCTGCTATGATCCTGGATATTGTTTCACTGGCTGGTCTAGTTTCACACGATTGCCGCATTTATCCAGTTGGGGGGGCTCCTATAGAACAAGCTCAAGACATAAATGGGTGTTGAAGTCTTTACCTCTTGGGGACAAAGATCAGAAGCCCACAGCTGGGCAAGCATCTGCTGCATGACTTCTTCCAACACGGTCCTCGGAGAGTGGACCTCACGGGTTTCATTCTTTAGAATCGCGAGAACCATACTTTCAGCCCTCGTCCCGAGGCGGGTATTCAAAATAAACCCTCCCATGCAAAACCTACCCTGTGATGAGGCGTGATGCCTTTAGGCCTTTTGGGGCCTTTCACAGAATTCTTGCGGATGTTTCAATAGGAAAGGAGAATAATAATGGCGGCCACGCTGCCTGGGGAGTTTTATATGCAGACTCGGTTGTCCGCGGGAGCATAACTTCCTTCCTGTGTTCAGGAAATCAGGGTGGCTGGAACCTGGCATTGAGATGCACATTATACACCTTGCACCTTTTGCCGCTGAATACTTGTGAACTGTTGCATCATTTATCCATCCACTTTCAAACATGCAAACATTGTGATGCCTAACCAGCTCGTTCACACACTCCTTTTTACTTCCCCACTCCGGACCACCTGAGCCCCGACATCCCTTGCGGATTGTTAGCCAAATAAGAATGCCTTGCAGTTGTTTTCAATGCGGGACTCTCCCATATACTTTACAGCGGCCATGCATCCTTTCTTTTATGACTCGCTGTCCTCATTGATTCTTCCCCGGAGGTGCAGCCTCCTTTTTTTTTTTTTTTTTCCCATCATCTCCTGCGCACACGCTTCAACACATGCTATTACGGCTTAACACTACTGCTTGTTTTTCTTCCTATTATTCAGCTTACCTTTGTACATTATGCATGCCATTTCTCATACACACGCACAGACACACATACGCACACGAGAGGACGTTTGCGCATATTTTTTGTTTAGTATTCATTTAAATCATATCGATTAATTGTATTAGCATCCGTGCATCCCTCCATTTTGTGTACAGCTCATGCCTATTAGGGCTGCGGGTGAGCTGGAGCCCTTGGCCGAAGCCGTAAAACGGAAAGTCTAGGCACCCTTTAAAGTGACAGATGCCATGGTGTTAGTCCCTCAATGAAACAACAAACACTCAAGAATTAGTGAATCGAAATGGTATAAAGGCAGCTTTATTTATATAGCGCGTTT